TTTTTTTTTTTTTTTTTTTTTCGGAAACAGCCCATATTGCGGGGTTGATTTTATGAAAGACAGACAAAGTATTGGGGTGTAATCGCTGGGGGATGAAAAGACAAGAAAAATGATGTCGACTTTAATCTGTTTTTGAATCTCAGAATGTTCTTTATACCTAAGTGGATCACAATACTTTTGGTTCAAAAATCCAACGATAGACTGGAGGAGGCTAGCGTTATCACAGTGGGAGGCTTTAGAAAGTATACCAGATCTAAGTTCATATTCTCCTACCTTTCTTTATTTCCCCAGTTTACTCGAATTTCCTTACATGTTCTCCGAAGTTGAAGTTAATTAGGATTCCTGTCCCCAGAAATAGCCGTGTCCCATGTTCACTAGTGGATTCCCCAGCGAACAACTTAAATGACTTTTTTTTTTTAAGAGATTGGTCCCATGCATTTGCAGCAGATCAAGTCGAAGCCAAACGCGAATTGCAACAGAAACATCTGACTCGAAAATCTCTCGTTAGAACTCTTTTTCTAAATAGAAGACTAATATTCCCCTTCCTAAATCAAACACCAAAACAACGGTGTTGCAGTTTAGGTCAGAAGCACTCTGACCATGAACAAACTTTATTTTTTTCGGTTCACATAAAGTGACTGGGTACATACATAGGTCAGTAAGTTGAAAATGAGTATACTTGTTAGGTGTGGTTTAGTACAAAAAACTAACTAAAATATATGACGGGAGAAATGGTTCGGTTTTTCTAACTTAAAGCACACGATCCCGTCATGACGTGTCACATGGTGTAAACTACAAAAACACCGAAGCTAACGTTGCAAAAAAAGGAAAATAGCTAAATAGAGTAAGATATTACGTCATTTTAACCGAATCGTAGCCAGATATTTCTAACGGTAGCTAGGTTTAACTTACAACACACTGGTATATCTTGTAAGCTAGATAAAGGTTTCCTTTCCTTGTTCAAATCTCAGTTTTGGGTTGTATGGTAGAAGGCTGGGTACCAAGCTCCTGAGCCGTTTGTGCACTGTTGTCAGGGGCTTCCTCTCCTCTCTGAGTAACGATCATTTTGAAGAACAATCGAACGGTTTCAAAGAACGAAAAGCAGGCCAGGAAACCAAAAATCTGTCAAGAAAGGAAGAAAATCTTAAATTCAGGTTGAGGTTTAGGAAAAGAAATGAGGTTTAAGAAAATTCCACATTTTTTACTCCTCGAAGGAAAACCCTCTATGCCCTTATAAGCCGGCTGTTTCTATTTTATAAGTAGGTAATTTGGCTTTAAGCATTCAAAACATTCTACCACCAATGAGTAATTTGCACGACTAGGCACTCTCTTCATACGCTTATTATCTCTGTAATGATAAAAGAGCCCTATGACATAGTCGTAGACTCCGTTTCCTATGACACATATTAAGGCCTTAAAGATAGGCTGCCATTTTCAGATTACCAGAGCCAAGTAGAGTTCATCAAGGTTGGTCCTTATAAGCAGAGGCAGGAAGTCGTACATCTTGGACACTTCATGCGCATGAAACACGAGGGTTACTGTACAAGCCACCAGTAAGATGGTTAGAACGATATGCACAATGAAGCACTGTAGAGAAAAACAGAAAAACTGAACCTAATAGTTTCAGAAGTACTTGAACTATATCACAGGACAAATGACAGAACTTTGTCATTTCTATTATTATCATCATTTTCATCCTCCTCATCATCGTCATCACTTCACAGTCATCGTTATCGTCGTCATCATTGTCATCGTCACCGTTGACGTCATCGTCATCATTGTCATCGTCATCATGATAATAATCGTCATCGTCATAATCATAGTCATAGTCATTGTCATCATTTTCAATGTCATTACAATTGTAATCCTATAAATATTTTTGGAGGAAGGGAGGGGAATTTCGATGGGGCAGTTTGGTTCAAACTGTTGAATAATCCCTTGTCAGGGTACGCAAGTCCCGACGATAAACCTACAAGGAACAAGATTTCTCAAAGTTGAAGAACATCAAAATGAACTGCGAATGATGAACACAAAAACATTTATGATAAATTTTCAAGACGCACACAAAGTGTGATGTGGCTCCTTTCAGTAATTCTGTCAAATTTCTCTACCCTCTCATAGCAATCCGCCATTTTGAATCATCTTTAGTTCATGCGCATGTACAGAGCTGGGTCTGTAGTAGTTACACGACGAACGGGCATTTGATTTGTTTTTTAATGAAAATATAAATTTGATCTGAGTTCCAGGTGAAGCATGTACAAAAAATGTAATTGGAGCAAGATTTGGACAAAAAATTGTCTGCGAAATTAGATTTGGGCAAAACCTAGGCTGAAAAATGAGATTTCTACTTCACCCTCCATTCCTATTCATGGTCTTGCATACAAACTCTTGAGGAAAGTCTGATGAAATACAAGGAGGGTGTCATTTTATTTTAGAGGAGTATCAATGCTTCCTGCTGATTTTTGCGACTCTCTTTCTCAGCCATGCGAGTATGTTAAATGATCTCAAAAGTTAAATTTATTTTCACCAACGATGAACTTACGATAACCGTGCGCATTACTGCGAAGATCGCTGTCATATTCAAAACTTACGATAGTTGTCAAGAGTGACGGTTGCGAAAAGAGGCACTTGATGTGGTTGAAGCCAAAAACAAACCCAATTTGAAACACAATGGACTCGATCCAGCAGAACACTGTGATTCCCTTAAAAAAATTCACTCTTCCGTTAGTAATTTCATATCCATTGGTATATCTAACAATCGATATCCAGGCAGCTGACAGGAAAAGCTGCAACAAAAAAATTAAACTGTATTAGAAGTGTTATAACAACAAGTTAAAGCGTAGGTTTGTTGCAGTACCTGACAGTTACTAAGCCTGAAGTGTTAAATTTAAAAATTGTTCCCAGAACTGTTTCGATTATGCTTCAGAGGAGCAGGCTCAAGAAGCGATCTTTCTTATAAAAAATTGGTAGTTTATTGTGAAAACCATTTGTGGACTGAAGAACAACTACTCACAAACTCAACCACTCTCTCTGCAATCAAGGCACTTTGCCAGTAAGCAGTAGTCTTTGGCACGGCTGGCGCTGCTGCTGGCTGAACCGGTTGTACCTGAGGTTGTCCAACCTGTCCAACCGGTTGTTGAACATACTGTCCAGGAGAGGCCTGGGCCTGGACAAACAAGGGCTGGAATTGACCTGGAGGGACCTGGCCAACAGGTTGCTGATAAGGGAAAGCCTGGGTCCCAGAAGTTTGGTTCATTTTTCCAAGAGTTCTCGTTTCTCTGTTAAAGGAAACAATTCCTATAAATCTAATCAACCACAGTGAACTAAGCCTGACAAAAAAAGGCTGTGTTTCGAAATAAAGTTTTATCAGTCCGAAAATATGGGTAAATGATTGGTTCTGCGGCAACCTTTCGACTTCAAATGAGATTGACATGCCACTTCCCCTTACAATATATTATTTTACAGATCACTATACAAGGAATAGTTTTTCCAAGAGTGAATAATTTTCCAAGAGTGGATCAGTGTGTGAACGTTTTAGATGAATCTTCACTGTTACAACTACCACTCAATATTAGAATCTTGAAGGGAGAATTTGGAATCAGATCTTAAGATTTAGAAGGTTTATTTATTGAACTTCAGCAGAGAAGACTGTGAATGCCCTACTGCTGGCTCTAGGCAACGATGTAAGAAGTTCAGTGCTTTCTGGTGAACGCAGATATCAAGAAGAACACATAAATTACCAGCAGCAACTCCTCTTTCAGGCCTTGGATTTAAAAGGCTTCTTTGCCATGTTTTCTTTCCAGCAGAGTTGTTTGCTCACACTTCTTAGTCATTTGTTATAAATGCTGTCTTACAAACTCACCCTGATTCAAACTGTGTGATCGAGAATCATACTTAAGAATTATAAAAGCTTATTTCTGGACAGAAAGGGTTAAGAAAATGGAAATTTCTTGTCGTTTTCACCTTTTTCTTGACAGTTAATTGACCATGAGGCTTTGTTCCTATAAAGAAATTGGATTGGCTTTCTTGGAAAGCCTGAAAGCGACGAAACATCAGCCCACATTCGCAATATAAACAGGTCTCTCATGATACACCAGGATGCCAAATGTATATACGATCAGTCTCATTTTACCATACCTCATGAGACACTTTCGACGCAAAAGATATAGACTGTAGCAGTATGTAGGATTCATGTCACATTTTTACATGGCCTATGAATTAATTAGCGCTAGCTGCCAGTAGTTAAGGTTGTCGCTTTGACTAAGTGCTTACGCTCGAAACGTCACTTCTTACGGTGGCCAATTTACATAAGTTGATAAAATGCATATCAGTTGATAAAACCAATTTGTCTGTGGCTTAGTTGGTCGGTGATCCGACGACGAAATCGGTTGGAAGGTTTGAGGTTTGGATCTTCATCGCCAGGATTGATCTTTCCCAATAGTATTTATCACCAATTACGCCGCCTAAAAAGACTGTTAGACCATGAACGAGACCTAAATTGTGTAAAAACAATAGACTTCTTTTGCGCAGCCTAAAGGTTGATATATTCCGAAAACGTATTAACAATGATAACATTTAGCAATGCTTACAAATATATCACTGATCGATGGAAAGTATTAGGAAATGGCGTGGCTCATCTAGAGATGCAGCCTATCATCGAAACATTAGCTATAAAAGCTCTTTACATTCGCTCTGTTGAAGAGCTAAAACGCTCGAAACGTTAGCTTTAGAAGCTCTTTGCGATATTATCAATTCAGACGATAAAACCAATTTGTCTATAGGCTAGTCGGTCCATGATTTNGATGCGTGTGTCATTGTTAGATGCCCTAAGACACAAAGGACCAGAGCAGAGACTGACTTTAGAATTCTGTCATGATGTATATAAATATTTGTTTTATGGGAAAGGGAGGGATGCTAAAGAAAAGAATTGGCATTTGTTTGATGAAAATGATTTTAGTAAATGTAAGCTACCACCTAGTTGGAACTGTATATATGACAGACATGGGGATGGTGTCAAACTTAGATTTCTTCTTAAAATGAGAAAATTCCTACAGTTGTCTCCAGTAACATATCAGAGGGTAGCTGAGAATATTGTGGAGGCCCCAAGGGTTTATATTGAGAAGATCACTACCAAGTTTATTAAAGTCCCTTCATCATTTAATTGGTGTAATCAAGTGAACTTACAATGGAATTAACATAGCATTCTTTGTAAATTAATTTTTTTCACACTCTATAACTTCTCAGCTTTAGGCATTACTGATTTTCGACATTATTAATTTCACATGATGCTAGGAATCATAAGAAACTTATTCATTATTATTCCTGGAGCTGACCACTGGGCTGGAATCCTGTTTCAATATGTTTTACCAATGTTACTGAGGTCAGTATTTAAGGATTAATTTTATTTAGCTGGAACCTCTCAATAAAGTTAATGAGTTCCTGTTTTTTAAGTTTAGAGGGGCCCTTTGTACTAAGACCCCTCTCTTTCATGATTTCCTTGAGCCACTTGATAGTGAGTTTGCTGTAATCTTCCCTGGGAGTGAGGTCCTGCATGTCTTCATCTTCGGAAAGTTAAGCTTTTTCAATGAGTCCAATAAGCTCCATATTTTTAAGTTTTGACTGGCCTTTTTGCCCAAGACCTTTTTCTTTCATGAGTTCTCTCAACTGCTTCACTGAGAGGTTTGTTAAATTCACCTCAGGAGTGGGAATGTCATCATCCTGAATTGTATCAGGGGAATCCACACAGCATGCGCTTTTCTGTTTCCTAATTTCACCGATTTCAGTATTCCAGTACTCCAGCTTTCTTTTTGAACACTGACCTTTCATTCTCTCATGATGTTTCAAATCCCATTGCCTACTCTCTGTATAGAGTATGTCCTTTGCTGCATCCCATTTGTTAGACTTGTTGAACAGTACCCTTTTTGCTTCGTCGTTGTATTTTTCCACACCTTGACCAGTGAATTTTTTGAAGCAGCCATGCATTTTCACAAAGAAGGAGATGTGGTACACCAGAGTGTGCATGTAAGGGGTTACCCTTGGTCTGGTATACCCAGGCCTTATCCCCTTTAATGAGCAAAACAGCTCAACCTATGATTTGGCCTTTACAAAAATGGCATTTGCAGCAGTTTTGGACAAATTAAAATCAGAAATCTGATTATACAAACACTCAAAATCAGTCCAGATTTGCTCCACTGTTTCACAAGTATCAGGATAGAGAACGTCCCTTAATTTTGAGGGAAGTCCATTGAGCAGTTTCTTCTTTTGAGAACCAAGAAGACTAGTAAATTCTTTTACTTGGCTTTCTGACCCATCTGCATTTTTTTTGTTCCATATTGAAAATGAAATGCCCAAAGAATTAATCGCTTTATTTTTTTTTGTAACTCTCAAGAATCTCGGACATTTTGTTTTTATATGCTGTAAGCAAAGCTATACTAGATGGGTTTGTTTTTAATTTTTCCCGCGTATTTACTTTCATTAAAACCAAGCCTGGTACTGCTAATAGGGGACTTTTGAGAGCCTGGAAGCTAAATTATATCCCGTGAAACATCTGGACTTAACAACAAACAAAATGGCGACTGGGTGAAGTTTGGAGTTGTGATGCTTTTTCTTTTCCGTGTCCGACCGAAATGGGTCATTCGCAAATATGGCGTCCATTACTAGACTACAGATGGAAAAATGAGGGAAATAATGCGCCTTTGGAAGTATTTTGCACTGCAGAAATCGTCGTTTTTACGACTGTCTAAGAAACATCTTACATTGCAGAGGTAATATCGAGTCGTGCAAATTTACTTCATTGAAGGGTCGATATTCTACTCGACGAGTAATCCGCATGACTTCGGCAAGATTTTAAGACAATGTATGGAGAAATGGAACGTACAACGAGAGATGAAAGTGGCCACTTCGGGAAGTAAGTAAACTTGCTTCTAATTAGCCATTTTTAACCCAGATGCGAAGGTTACACAGCACTTAACATGATTCGAGTAGGGCAACGAAGACCCGTAAGCTCATAATCGATATATTTGAACAAGTTTCCTTATCTCCTTACATTTCCTTGTACGAATTCGCAGCCATTATGGCCTTAGTGCGCACGCACGACCGCCATCTTGTCCCTAATTTCTGGCAATGGCATTCTCAAATAAACAGTTCTCATGCCAACCAAGATACAAAACGTATGATTTATTCAAATAGGTCACTCTCAGGATCCAACAGATTCTAGCGGTATATGTAGGAAATTTGTCACGTTTGTAGCATATGACTTTTATAGCTTCCAGTACGTTGGTTGCCTGTCGCTTTGACAAAGGGTTTACACTCGATCGTAACGTCAGCTTTAAGAACTCTTTACATTCCGGCGCTTCCACTCGAAAGAGTTCTAACGCTCGAAACGTTAGCTTTAGAAATTCTTTTCGTTGGCCAATTTACATTTTCATCCCAGTTGATACTGAAAATTAATTTGTCTGTAGCTTATAGCTGGACGATGATCCAACAGCAACGGAATAGATCGAAAAGTCTGAGGTTTGAATCCTCATCGTAGTGAATTAAAATATTTCCAAGTCGCATGTTCGTGACAAATGCTTGACATCTATCACTGAAAATTTGGTTTCGTGGATGAGCAAATTAAAGGACTTTTGAGGCAACTCGTTTTGCCATTTCCACAGGTATTTCCCAACATTTTTCTTTATTAGTAATTACACTTTGCAAATAAAAGGCGCCTGAAAAGGCTGTAAAACCAAAAGACCTAAGTAGGTGCAGGACCTAAGTAGACATAAGTAGGTGCAGCTACTTATGTCTTGGCTGCTTTCGTGGAAAAGCAGATGAACATAATATTATTTGTATAAGATTTCATCTCTGACCCAGAGTGACACAGAAAATTTAGGTCTGCAATATCCAATTCCAAAATCTGTCCAATGAATTTAGTAGAAGTGCTGGGGCAAATTTCGAACACGGCATACAAATGTAACAGACAAATTATGTAATTCTTTTTTTAAATGGGTTGTAAAAGTTAATTTTAAAGATCAACAGATGAAGTGTGGATTTCATAAGAATGTTCGGACCATCCTCAAATTTTAAGGGCCTTAAAAAAAAAAAACATTCGGTGAAAAGATAGCCTTTCCGAGAACAGTAAGAAGGATTTCTGGGAATTTTTTTTTTTTTAATTTTCTGAGCCTCACTGGAAAGCTACGTGGATCGAGGGACTAATTATTGTTTTGCAAAGCACTTTACTCTGCCAGTCTCTCTCCAGTATAGATAGGTACTGGTGAATGCTCAGGGAAGTCTGATGAAATGCTGACGGGAGGGGAGGTGAGGTAACCTTATCAACATCCCATCCAGGGGGGAGTAGTAATACTCCCAGTCGCTTCATGCTTAGGAAAAAGTGGGATAAACTCCGACGAGGGGGGGGGACGCTTGGCTCGAATACAGACTTCACCTTTAGTTTTTTTTCCTTTCCATTGTTAAGCCACCAAAGGACAATAAAAGGGTGAAAACTAATATCAAATAGCAAAAATCGATAATAAGGTGTCACGACTGATTTGTAGCATCGTCGTAATTTACCGTGATATGTCTCTTACGAAGGCTAACCATCGACGGTTCGGTAACAGTTTTATCATAGTTAATACTACAATTTTTATTTCAACCTGGGGGGGCCGGGTCAACCAACGATGTATAAACATAGTACTCTATGTGAAACTCACTACGATTAAATGTCTTTCACGATCTTCACTTTTTTAGGATAATTAGTGCCACAGTTTTACTCTGATAAAGCCTGTTATACATGCTTGTCATACTTAAGTAGAGCAATCAAGGGAAAAAGAATAATCATGATAATTGTCGAATATTAATAAGGGACAAGTCAAAACGAGCTAAGTTGATACAGGGTCGTTTCAACATGACGCTTTTTATGCAGCTAACTACCAAAAATTAATCAAAGCTAAAGATCGACGCACGTGCAAACAAAGCTATTTTCTAGAAATTTAGCGAACTGGCTGCGCTGTAGCTGATCCAAACAACTGCAGCTACAGGTCAATAAAAGGCTACTGAGTATTATCTGCCGCAGCAATTTCCTTTGCTCTTTGCAATCTGTACATCTTTGTCAGTAGTGTAATGTCGTCCAGGAAGCAGAAACATACCAACGCACCAAAGAACTGTAAAATTAAGAGAGCAAAACTTCATGAAAGATCATTTTTTCTTTTCAATTGGGCCTCCTGTGATTCTACCGCCTGCTATGCTTGCGCAGGTGTACTTATATAATAAATCGTTTTAAATTGATGGCCAATTTATTACTACAAGAGCATATTTCCCTCCACACACTAAAGCTTGAACAAGCTAAGAAATATTTCAAGACATGCTTCATATTTAGTGGTAAAATAACATCCTTTCATCGTCAGTTTCAATCAAGTTAGAAAAATCAACAGGTTTGATGGGGTGGTAGGTGAGGCGAGGAGAGTGGTCAGGATCCCTAGACCTATCCCATGGATTCGCTACTGCCTCCATTCCTCACTGAGGACAGTAGTAACAGCAAATTTAGGGCAAAAAGTAAAATAACGTACCAAGGCGCCAGCAAGCAGATAATTGTTTATGTCAACAGGTGAGCTTTCACCGTGTTGATCACGGTAAGCTATGTTTGCTTTATACAAGTCGACGCTGCGCATTGTCAGGCTTGTAGTACAAGCAAAGAGTAGTATCGTCATTAGGACTTGAACAGTTAAAACCTACGAGAAAGAAGAAATGACAGTTTTTGATTAGTTAGAGCTGAAAAAAATTGGTTTTAAACACTTTGTTGCCAGTAACAACAATGAGGAGCAAAAACATGTCGTCTCAGTGCCGCCTGAACGCGGAAAAATTACAGCCTCACAACCTCGTTTTCCAAAGTGCAGAAGCCTAAGAAAGAGTCAGACATCTTGAATAGACGGAAGGAAATATATCTGCCGAGTGACTAGCTGGGTGTATTTTGTGCATTTGAGAAAGTCAAATGTTCAGCCTTGAATAGTAATTGAATTCGTGCTAATTCTCTGTCATTTGATATACAAGAGCATTTCTTGGTAATTTTTTAGTTGGCCAAATGTTCCTTCAAAGTTCTAAGCTGTTTTGATTTTAATCTCACTCAAATTAATATCAATTTTCTAGTGACTGAATTTTGCTTGATAGTGCTAAAAAATGTCTCTTTACCCGATCAGTGACTTAAAAGACCACTCCGAGTTTCAAAAGCCAAGAATAAAAAACTTTCTAGTGAAATGATTTTCTTTTCTCATTGCTTTTCTCATTGCTTTTCGTCTCAGTACCTTTCAGAGCCCGCTTCACATAGACACCCATTTTCAGAGAGAGTCTTTGGGCATCTTGAAAACGGCCTTGTACGAGTATCGCATTCATTAATTATCATAATTAATAAGTTTTTATACTCACTATCAATGTGGAAGTTGATGGTGTCCTGAAATATCGCTGGTCTTTGTTGATGCCAACTAAAAACACAATCTGCATGATTATCACCATCACCCAACAAAACGTGGCGATCCCTGCAAAGGCTGTTGCTCGACCATCCAAACCGAGAGTTCGGTTTGCGTAAACGGCACCGCATGGCCAGGCGATTAACAAGAAGANGTTGACTGAGTGAGTACTCATTTACTCATTGACTGAGTGAGTACTCATTTACTCATTGACTGAGTGAGTACTCATTTACTCATTGACTGAGTGAGTACTCATTTACTCATTGACTGAGTGAGTACTCATTTACTCATTGACTGAAGATGGCATATGCATGCCGAAACATGTCTCTCAAAAGAGTTGTATATTTCTTACAATGAATATCATCCAACTTGACATGTATGGATTGGAATAAATTTTGCGTGTTCTACATGGAGATGTACAAACACACTTATAGCAAGCAACACCAGCTGTAGGCAAATTATCCTGCTCTTAATTTGCTTTTTTTTTAGGTTAGGTTAAATGCCTTATGGCTGTAAAAATATCTTACGTAATTAATGCAGCCTGCAAGAAGAACAAGGTGTGAAACTGACTTTCTTGACATTCCTACACTCGATTCCCATTCTAAACTCCATATTCCAGTTTCCATATCTTACATTTCGCAAAAACGTGCACAAACATGGCAAAAAAGTTCTTAAATAGTGCTTGATAGCTACAGAAACTGCTTTAAATCTAGAAATAGCGCACGAAAGTTGCTCGCAGTAGCGTTTTTGTTTTTTTATTATTTCCTACTGGAGATATATACATATCCTAGTTTAATCAAACTTTTAACTCTGGATTTTCTGTCGAGTATAGCAGCGTGTGTCGTACAAAACCTCTATATTATCAGTCAAGCATAGTTTCTAAAGCAGTCATAGCATCACAGAACCGTATACAATCAACCTTATTAAGCTACCACTGTTATTAGTCTTCCTTCGATCTATTGTATCGAAGCATCACAGAAACTTCAATTCAAGAGCGCTAAAATTTTTGATGAAGACGAAGTGCGAACCAATCAAATTGGACTGTCCCACGTTTGGAAGGACCTTAGCTCGTGCAGTTCCATGACAACAGTTAGCTAAATAGGTTACAAAGTGGAATTATTCATAATTCAGCTTCATGATAATAGAATTACTCGGCGTTACTTAATTAAAACGTTTCGAAGACAAAACATTGCATTTAATAAAGGGAAAGTTGTGAAAACTGTGCTGAAATTTTTCCAAACAGCGCAAAAATGCTCAAATTCTGATAAAAAGTCATTGTGATCAAGAGTGCTGGGAATGTAAAATAGTGCTCAAAATTCGAAAAAGTGCCAAAAAATGCCCAGCGCAATCGCGACAGGCCTACTTACATACCTAATTAAAAATTCCACCTATGTCATGGAACTGCACGAGCTAAGGTCCTTCCAAGCGTGGGAACAGTCCAATTTGATTGGTTCGCGACTTCGTGTTCATCAAAACTTTAAGCGCTCTTGAATTGAAGTTTCGAGAATATTCCATGGCAGTAATCATAACAGATTCTTGTATCCTTACACTTATTGCTTCTTTAAATTATGCAAGAAAATCTCTTATGTTTTGAACAACGCAGCAAAGAATGTAAATTGAGTTATTTAACAACTCAGTTTGAGGAATATTTTCCAAGTCTTTCATCTATTTGACTTTCGACTGCCGTTCGGCTTTAGTGAATTTTGAGTTCTTGCATGTTGCTCTATACCAACCTT